GTGGGGTATCACTGATAAAAAGAAAGGTGAGGAATCAGCCCAGAACTACAAGGGAGGAGCTGGTCAATGACATGAAGAGAGCTGGGACCACAGTTTCAAAGGTCACTGTCGGGTAGAACACTACGCCATCATGGTTTAAAATCATGCATTGCACGGAAGGTTCCCCTGCTCAAGTCATCACATGTCCAGGCCCGTCTGAAGTTTGCCAATGCCCATCTGGATGATCCAGAGGAGAAAGTCTGGATGATGCATGGGAGAAAGTCATGTGGTCAGATGAAACAAAAGTAGAACTTTTTGGTCTAAACTTCACACGTCGTCGTGTTTGGAGGAAAAAGAAGGATGAGTTGCATCCCAAGAACACCATCCTTACTGTGAAGCAGGGGGGTGGTAACATCATGCTTTGGGGGTGCTTTTCTGCAAAAGGGACAGGACAACTGCACTGTATTAAGGAGAGGATGAATGGAGCCATTTTATTGCGAGATTTTGAGCAACAACCTCCTTCCCTCAGTCAGAGCATTGAAGATGGGTTGTGGCTGGGTCTACCAACATGACAACGACCTGAAGCACACAGCCAGAATAACCAAGGAGTGGCTCCATAAGAAGCATATCAAGGTTCTGAAGTGGCCTAGCCAGTCTCCAGACCTAAATCCAATAGAACATCTTTGGAGGGAGCTGAAACTCCATGTTGCTCAGCGACAGCCCCGAAACCTGACAGATCTAGAGGAGATCTGTGTGGAGGAGTGGGCCAAAATCCCTGTTGCAGTGTGTGGAAACCTGGTCAAGAACTACAGGAAACGTTTGACCTCTGTAATTGGAAACAAAGGCTTCTGTACCAAATATTAACACTGATTTTCTCAGGTGTTCAAATACTTCTGTTCAGCAGTGCAAGACAAATAAATTCTTTTAAAAATCATACAATGTGATTTCCTGAATTTTGTTTTTTTAATTCTGTCTCTCACAGTGGGAATGCACCTACAATGTGAATTTCAGACCCTTCCATGATTTCTAAGTGGGAGAACTTGCAAAATCGCAGGGTGTTAAAATATTTCTGTTCCTCACTGTACACATACTCGCTGTGTGGCTGGCTGGAGGTCTGGTGGATGATACCGACATTAGCAAGCGGTCCTTAACCGCTTGCCGCCCTGCCACTGTGTATATACGTGTGCAGGGCGGCAGTGGAGCGCAAAACCACGTTTAAAAACGGGTTCCGCGCTCCCGACACTTTCGCCGGAAGGGGCGCGCGCGCGCGCGCTCTCTCCGCCGACCCGCAGGTGACACTATTTGATCCAGGAGGGATCAATCATTAGATTTCAGCCAGTGATTTCTGGCTGAAATCACATGATCGGTCCCTGTCCTATCCTGTCCTGTGTTGACATACATACAGGGCAAGATATGATGTCATTCTTCTCTGCCTGGACACATTCCGTTCCAGACAGAGAAGACATCCAAAAAGTGAGTACACAAGCACTACACTACAGTTAGAACACTCTAGGACACATTTAATCCCCCCTGATCACCCCCCCCCCAGTTAACCCTTCACTGCCCTGTCACCAGTGTCACTGATCAGTGAAGCGATTTTTACTGATCAGTGTCGCTGGCGACTTCCGATAGAGTTAGCGCCCCTCCCAGATAGCGCCAGATTGCCCGCCAGTACACCAGTAAACCCGTTTAACCCCTTGATCGCCCCCCCTCCAGTTAACCCCTTCACTGCCCTGTCACCCAGTGTCACTGATTAGTGAACCAATTTTTACTGATCACTGTATCAGTGTCGCTGGCGACTTCCGATAGAGTTAGCGCCCCTCCCAGATAGCGCCAGTTTGCCCGCCAGTACACAAGTAATCCCGTTTAAACCCTTGAACGCCCCCCCCCCCTCCAGTTAACCCCTTCACTGCCCTGTCACCCAGTGTCACTGATCAGTGAACCAATTTTTACTGATCACTGTATCAGTGTCGCTGGCGACTTCCAATAGAGTTAGCGCCCCTCCCAGATAACGCCAGATTGCCCGCCAGTACACCAGTAATCCCGTTTAACCCCTTGATCGCCCCCCCCCTCCAGTTAAACCCTTCACTGCCTGTCACCCAGTGTCACTGATCAGTGAACCAATTTTTACTGATCACTGTATCAGTGTCGCTGGCGACTTCCGATAGAGTTAGCGCCCCTCCCAGATAGCGCCAGATAGCCCGCCAGTACACCAGTAATCCTGTTTAACCCCTTGATTGCCCCCCCCCTCCAGTTAAACTCTTCACTGCCCTGTCACCCAGTGTCACTGATCAGTGAACCAATTTTTACTGATCACTGTATCAGTGTCGCTGGCGACTTCCGATAGAGTTAGCGCCCCTCCCAGATAGCGCCAGTTTGCCCGCCAGTACACCAGTAATCCCGTTTAACCCCTTGATCGCCCCCCCCAGTTAACCCCTGCACTGCCCTGTCACCAGTGTCACTGATCAGTGAACCAATTTTTACTGATCACTGTATCAGTGTCGCTGGCGACTTCCGATAGAGTTAGCGCCCCTCCCAGATAGCGCCAGCTTGCCCGCCAGTACACCAGTAATCCCGTTTAACCCCTTGATCGCCCCCCCCAGTTAACCCCTTCACTGCCCTGTCACCAGTGTCACTGATCAGTGAACCAATTTTTACTGATCACTGTATCAGTGTCGCTGGCGACTTCCGATAGTGTTAGCGCCCCTCCCAGATAGGGCCAGTTTGCCCGCCAGTACACCAGTAATCCCGTTTAACCCCTTGATCACCCCCCCCCCCCAGTTAACCCCTTCACTGCCCTGTCACCAGTGTCACTGATCAGTGAACCAATTTTTTACTGATCACTGTATCAGTGTCGCTTCCGATAGTGTTAGCGCCCCCTCCCAGATAGCGCCAGTTTGCCCGCTAGTGCACCAGAAATCCCATTTTAACCCCTTGATCGCCTCCCTCCCCCCCCCAGTTAACCCCTTCACTGCCCTGTCACCAGTGTCATTGATTACAGTGAACAGATTTTTACTGATCACTGTATTAGTGTCACTGGTGACTTCCGATAGTGTTAGCGCCCCTCCTAGATAGCGCCAGTTTGCCCGCTAATGCACGGGATTTTTTTTACCAAAAACATGTAGCAGAATACATTTTGGCTTAAATTTATGACTAACTTTGAGTTTACGATATATTTTTTTTATAGCTGAAAGTAGAAAATATTGTTTTTTTTTCAAAATTTTTGTGGTTTTTTTTTTTATAGCGCAAAAAATAAAAAGCGCACAGGTGAACAAATACCACCAAAAGAAAGCTCTATTTGTGTGAAAAAAAGGACGTAAATTTCGTTTGGGTACAGCATTGCATGACCGCGCAATTATCATTTGAATTAGTGCAGCGCTGTATAGCAAAAAAAGGCATAAATACAGCATCTATACGATAGTTTGTAGACGCTATAACTTTCACACAAAGCAATCAATATACACTTATTGGGATTTTTTTTTACCAAAAACATGTAGCAGAATACATTTTGGCTTAAATTTATGACTAACTTTGAGTTTACGATACATTTTTTATAGCTGAAAGTAGAAAATATTGTTTTTTTTTCAAAATTTTTTGTGGTTTTTTTGTTTATAGCGCAAAAAATAAAAAACGCACAGGTGATCAAATACCACCAAAAGAAAGCTCTATTTGTGTGAAAAAAAGGACATAAATTTTGTTTGGGTACAGCATTGCATGACCGCGCAATTATCATTTGAATTAGTGCAGCGCCAAACAGCAAAAAAAAAGGCCTGGTCATTAAGGGGGGTAAATCCTCTGGGGCTCAAGTGGTTAAAGGCATATACACAGTGAGCATGTTTTCATCTCCTGTAGGAGATCAACAGCATTTGGTGAGAGGCTGAGTGTTGGTGGAGGAGTAATGAGGAGAAACACTTACCTGCTGTGTGTCCTTTGCACTTGTTGGATCAAATCTTCATGGACTTGCGACTTGAACTTGCACTTTAATACAATTTGCACCATGCACTTCCACTAGTTTATCTATTGATCACTAATATGTATTCATTTTGTTGGTATTTCACACATTTTAGTATTGGCCTGCTTCATGGTGTATATTTGTATTTGCACCTTTTGAACTTGCAATAAATTATTATGGATAAGCCTGATGTATTAATTTTCACCTTTTTATTTACTGACTGATTGGTTGGTTTGAGTAAAGTGATACTAAACCCCATTACCCTGCATTCACTATATCTGGTGCCCACAGTACACAGAACATGGAAATTTAATTATTTTAGTAAATATAAACTGCTAAATACATTTTCTCTTCAACAGTATATAGCAGTCTTGTGACTTATATCAGTGTCCAGCCGAGTTCCATTTAGAGCTTGTAGGAGGGGTTTTCTTTCTGCTCTAGGAAGACGCAGAACCCCTTACCTCTGTTTGGACAGTGCTGATTGGCTCTGTGCTAATCAATTGCACCCTCCCCAATAAAAAAAGTCTCTAGCAATACACACCAAACTGAGCATGTGCTGAGTGACTCCACACAATAAGTCTTATCACGAGATAAGAGGGGGACACTGGAAGAAGTGGAGGAACAGAGAAAACAGGATCAAACAGGCTTTTTTACACAATGCAGAGGATTAACCCCCTAGGTTCCACAGTGAGTATAACAAGCATGCTTTACTGCATATACACACTGATTTTACTGTTGTGGGTTTAATAACACTTTAATTGTTATCAAAGGCCACTTTATAAGGTGGTATGTAACATTCAAGAATTGTTTGAAAGGGCACCTTTTTCAGTAAATAAAATGAATCAACACTTTACAAAGCTGCACATTTTTTTCATATCTGTTGGGGTCCCTTGACTGCCTGGGCTATTCTTGGATAAGGGGAACTTTAAATAGATATGGCAAAACAGTGATAGTTATTTGCAGCTAAGTCCGATGAAATATGAAAATTACAGCCACGTGGCTAAAAATACAGTGTTTCAGGCAGGGGTGGACTGACAACTCATGGGACCCCCCCAGGCAATAGGGGATCATGGGGCCCCTGTGTCCTTGCCCACACTCAAAAAAGCCTATGAAAAAAGGTACCAGGGGCATCTCATGGGGCCCCCTACTGACCCCGGGCCCTCGGGCAGTGCCCAAGTTTCCAAATGGTCAGTCCGCCCCTGGTCTCAGGTAAAAGCCTTGCGAATTGAGCCTGTTTGATGAATAAATATGCACCTAAGTGTTTATTTATTTATCGAGTTTATAGAGCGCCAAAGGGTTTGCTCAGCGCTGTACAATAGAGGGGGGACAATACATGAAACAGAACAGTAACATCAAACAGCACACGAGGGGTTAGAGGGCCCTACTCTTTCGAGCGTACAATCTAGGAGGGAGGGGGTAGAGGCACAGGATTAAACGGCTGTGGGGGATGGAGTGGTAGGAGGAGGGAAGGGCAGCGGCTGTTAGGTGAGGGTGGGGTAGGCTTCCCTGAAGAGGTGGGTTCTCAGGGAGCGCCTGAAGGTGAGGAGGGAAGGTGACAGTCTGATGGATTGGGGTAGTGAGTTCCAGAGGATGGGGGAGGACCTGGAGAAGTCTTGCAGTCGTGCGTGGGAGGAGGAGACCAGGGAGCAAGATAGAAGGAGGTCTTGTGAAGAGCGAAGGGTACGGGTAGGGTGGTACCTGGGAATCAGGTCGGTGAGGTAGTTAGGGGCAGTGTTGTGAATGACCTTATAGGTCAGGGTGAGCAATTTAAATTTAATGCGTTGGGCAATGGGGAGCCAGTGGAGGGAGAGGCAGAGGGGGGTGGCAGAGGTGGAGCGGCTGGTGAGGTGGATGAGTCTGGCCGCTGAGTTCAGGATGGTCTGAAGCGGGGAGAGCCTGCACTGGGTAGGCCGGTGAGGAGGGAGTTGCAGTAGTCCAGGCGTGAGATAATCAGGGAGTGTACTAGTAGTTTAGTGGTGTCTGGGGTAAGGAAGGAGCGTATCTTGGCGATATTGCGGAGGTGGAGTCTGCATGTGTTTGTGAGAGATTTGATATGAGGTTGAAAGGAAAGGTTTGAGTCCAGAATGACGCCAAGGACCTTGGCTTGCTGGGCGGGATTGATGGTGGTGCTGTTGGTAGTGATGGAAAGGATGGGGGGGGGGGGGGGCGCGGGCTGGGGGGAAGATGAGAAGCTCGGTTTTGGAGAGGTTGAGTTTGAGGAAATGGAGCGACATCCAGTCAGAGATGTCGTTTAGGAGGTGAGTGATGCGGGCGGAGAATGTGGGGGTGAGGTGAGGGGTGGATAGGTAGATTTGAGTATCATCGGCATAGAGGTGGTAATTGAAGCCGTGGGAGTGTATGAGTTTGCCAAGGGAGGAGGTGTAGATGGAGAAGAGAAGGGGTCCAAGGACAGAGCCCTGGGGGACCCCAACAGAGAGGGGGAGTGAGGAGGAGGTGGCACCGTTGTAGGAAACGCTGAAGGAGCGTTGGGATAGATAGGACGAGAACCAGGAGAGAGCGGTGTTGGTCAAACTAGTGTTACAAAAAATGTGAAATAAAGCATCTCTGCCTTCCTAACTCTGTCATGGAGTGATTACGGTCCAGTGGTTTTAACATATGGGTAAGTAGACATTATAACAGAGCAGTGTTTTTGCACCACCGTCAGGTGATCACTGTCCAATGTAAGTGATTACCAGCAGGGAATTGACACATTTGGCACTCAAATGCCTTTTCTGCAACTATTGCTTCGTTTAAAAGCCTGTTCACGGCCAGCATGTAATCTATCTGACTGCACAACTGTGTGTACAATTACAGTATGAGCGCACTTTAGTGCATGCTTCCATCTTTATAAGCATTCACAAATACACTGGGTTAAAGTGAATATTGAACCAAATAATTGTTTTATCTTTCCTCTCTGATTCCTGGAAAATAGAGATCTTGTATTGTATGTATTTACTACAAGGAACAATCTGTTCCAACAAAACCAATATAAAGGAACAGAACAGACATACTGTAAATATTAACCAGCTCAATACTGGACACTTTCACCCCTTCCAGTTCAGGCCAATTTTCAGCTTTTAGTGCTATCCCAATTTGAATGACAATTACTCAGGAATGCAACACTGTACCCAAATTAAATTTTTATCATTTTTTTTAGATAGATAGAGAATTCTTTTGGTGGTATTTAATCACCACTGTTTTTTTAATTTTTTGCTAAATAAATGAAAGAGACCAAACATGTTTTTCTTAGTTTCTGTTATAAAAGTTTGCAAATAAATAATCTTTCTTCATAAATTTTAGGGCAAAATTATTATCATTATTATTATACAACAGGATTTATAAAACACCAACAGTTTGTGCAGAGATTTACAATATAAAGGGAGACAGTACAATTACAATACAGTTCAGTACAGAATGAGGGCCCTGCTCATGGAGCTTACAATCTAAATGTATATTGCTACATTTATTTGCTTAAAATAACCCAAATTGGTGTATATTTAGTCCGTGTGAAAGTTAGAAAGTCCACAAATTATGGTATATATACCAAATACCCCCAAATGACCCTTTTTTGAAATTAGACAGTCCAAGGTATTTAGTATAAGAGGCATGGCAAGTTCTTTGAAGCTGTTATTTTTTGTCACAATTTCTTTTGTTAAATGAAGAAACTAAAAAACATTTGCTTTTTTTCCACATTTTTACATACTGTCACCAGTGTTGTAATGTTGTAAATTGTCATCATATAACTGGTGCGGGGGTGATCAGGGACACTGATTGGTGACAGTATGTAGTTTTTTTTTTTTTTTTTAAACCTTTTTTTATTATTTTTTTTCTTTTTTGTTACTTTTTTTTACATACTGTGACCAGAGCAGTACAGTGTTACCGTAGTGACACTGTACTACTCTGGGGGAGGTGATCAGGATTTTTTGCACACACTATGATTGCTTATGACAGTGATAATCACTGTTATAAGCATCCATTCATCTAATGTGTACTAATGTGAAGCTGTGATTGGCCACAACTATCACATGGTACAGATGCATTGTGATTGGCCCTGTCTGTACCACATGATCACAGTGACTAATCAAATACATAAGCACAATAGTACATAAGGAATGGCTATGAATTCAAGCCTTTCACTGAGTACTACTGTGATTGCTCACAGTGATCACATGGTACCAGCAGCGGACCAGTACACTGATTGTGATCTGCTGTGTATGGTGTCTGCTGGATCATGGCTTATAGAATTAATCATATGATGTCCACCCAGGATGACAGTGCTCCGGCTTGGCCGTCATTCTATTATAGACCGGGCAGGAAGTGGTTAAAGATCACAGCATGGCACTCATTGCTCAACACATATAACACCTTATATATCAGATACCAGATGTCAGCATTATATATCAGATATCAAATGTCAGCCAAGTCCTCAATAAAATTAAAAATAGAATGTTTTAAAATAATATTTTAAAATGAACTGAACCCACAAGCTGAAGATTTACTATGTTATAGCAAACTTCTAGAAAAGTTAATTGAGTCTATGTAGTACCAAGAAAAATGCATCTTTTGACTAGAATTCTACTTGAAGAATACCAGTGCACCTTCTGGTTAGGGATGAGCAGGGGTATATATATGTGCGGCTGTGGGTTGGGGAATGCCTCAAGCACTTACCATCATCTGCAGTGACATTCCTGGTGGGAAAGGACTAGTATTCAAACCCCCTGTGTCAAACCCCCATTATGTCACTGCTCTTCTACTCACTGTTCTCCATGCTGGAGGCTTTAACGTAAGCAAGCAATGCCCTGTCTCTACCAAGACGGCACCACAGAGACATAATGCAGACTAAACTAGAAAACATCTTTGTTGTAATGCTACAAAACACCATACAGAATGACTACAGTGTAAGGGAGCTGTAGAAAGACAATATGGGGTATATAAAAAATATATTGTGTCCAAATGGGCAAAATTAGGCAAAATTGTCAATATCTGGTTACTCCTAGAAGTGCTCTCCTTTTTTCTCTCTTTTACGATACAAAATAAGACATGTTAAGTCAGTAATGAGGAAATAGCTGCAGTGAGACCATAAGCAACATTGTGGCTAGTCCTTTGGCCTCCGCCTGACTCATTGGCTTAGCTTCCACAGATTTGCTGCTCTTTAAAACTACCACATATAAGATTCTTTGTAGATAGATATCTTATGTCTATTCATACTTTTGGATCCAATTGTATACATTGATCAGCAGTTTATTCTATACCTATAAATATTTATTTCTTTATCTAACAGTATTCTTGAACCCCATAGCCTTAAATTAAATATCAGCTCATAGTTTGTATCCATGGTGTGCTCTGCCGCGTAATATTGCTTTCCTTAAATCATAACCAATCCCCCTTTGAGAGCCAGCTAGTGCAGTAAGTGGAAAGTTGCTGACATGTGAAGATTGTAGAGGCTGATGTATTTGAAAGTGTTCACACCATAGGATGTGTGTACAGTTGTGCTCAAACGTTTGCATAACCTGACAGAAATCATGAAATTTTGGTGTTTGGTTTGCACATCCGCCTGGTAGTCCTAGGGTCATTGGTTCTAATCCCAAGCACGGCACCACCTGCCTGGAGTTTGTATGTTTTCCCTGTACCTGCATGGGTTTCCTCTAGGTACTCCGGTTTCCTCCCACAATCCAAAGACATGCTGATTGTTTAGTTGGATCCTGTCTACATTTTTCCTAGTATATGCATGTATGAATGTAAGTTAGGGACCTAAGATTGTACGCCCCTTGAGGGTTAGGATCTGATGTGAATGTACAATATATATGTGAATATATATGTAAAGCGCTGCATAAATTGATGGCACTGTATAAGTACCTGGAATAAAGTAAAATAAATAAAAAAATATAACTGATCATGCCAATAAACTGTCTTTTTTTTAAGGATAGTGATCATATGAAGCCATTTATTATGATATAGTTGTTTGGCTCCTTTTTAAATCACAATGATAACAGAAATCACCCAAATGGCCCTGATCAAATGTTTACATACCTTGGAATGTTTGCCTTGGTACAGACACACAAGGTGACACACATGGGTTAAAATGGCAATTAGAGGTTAATTTCCCACATCTGTGACTTTTTAAATTGCAATTAGTGTATGTATATAAATTGTCAATGAGTTTGTTAG